TTTCTAATGGGCCAGCCCACTTCTACTAAGTTGTAGGGCCTAAACCCTATTATTGAACAAAACTAAAATGACTTAATAAGGCTCTAATTCTTGGTAGTGTTCAGGTCCCTAACACGCAGTCATCACTCACGCCATTCCAGGAGTTCGGATGGTTCAGAAGGGGATGATAACTACTCTGCAACGTACCGCAAACACCACCGTCACAGGGAACGGGATATCCATCGCCGAACAGGGAGGAAAATTGATCTGCCGTTATTCAACGGAGAAGATGCTTACGGCTGGTTAATCAGAATTGATCGCTACTTCAGACTTAACTATATCGAGGAAGAGGAAAAAGTCAATGTAGCGGTAGTGGCCATGGAGGACAAAGCCCTGAGTTGGTTCCAAGGGTGGGAGAATCAGACGCAAGAGAGGAACTGGGAAACCCTAAAGGCAGCTTTAACTCGTCGATTCCAACCAGAGTTGGTTCAGAATCCCTTGGGCCCGTTATTAGGTCTCAAACAGAAAGGAACAGTGAAGGAGTACAGAGAGCAGTTCGAAATGGCGGTGGCTTCTCAAGGTGATTTGAGCAGGAAGGTAACTAAAGGGATTTTCCTGAATGGTTTGAGAAAAGATATTAGAGCTGAGCTTAAGCTCTATCAGGCGAGAGATTTGGCGGATATCATGGATACTGCATTGTTAATTGAACATAAAAACTATGAAGCGGTATCAAGGAGAAACAAGGATGAAGGAAAAAAAATACGGAGGAATCAGTTAACTGGAGGACAGAGTTACAATAAATGGGGGGATGGCAGTAAAAGAAGCTACAGCATACACCCTACAAATATCGTTGAGAAGAATTCCACTGACAGTAAGAAGCAGGAGGAGGGTTCCAGTTCAGTATCTAAGAAGTTTGGCCCCAGACTAACTCAGAATGAACTGTTGGAGAGAAGTAAAAAGGGGCTGTGTTTCAAGTGTGGAGATAAATGGAGTAGAGGCCACACCTGCAAGATGAAAAATTTTAAAATGATGTTGGTTGAACATCCTGAAGGTGAAGATGAGACTGACACTGCCTCTAGTGATACTGAAGAAGGAGAAGGGGTTCATAAGGAACCCAAAACTATGCAGTTATCTGTACTCAGTAAAGAAGGAATACCTTCCATGAGAACCTTCAAGGTGAAAGGAAGTTTAAAATGGCCAGATCATGACAAACAGGTGACAATTTTGATTGACAGTGGTGCTACCCACAACTTCATATCCCAGCAACTTGTAGATCAATGGAAAATACCTTTCCAATGTATCTAGGGGTATAAAGTACAAATAGGGAATGGAGATTTGATTTCTAATGGTGGCAGATGTGATGGGATGAAAGTGAATGTGCAAGGGAATGAAATTCAACAAAATTTTTATGTACTGGAGTTAGGAGGAACTGACATGGTGTTGGGGATGGAGTGGTTAACTGAATTGGGTGATATGGAAATTAATTTCCAAAATCAGACTATGAAATGGAAGAAACAAGGGCTGAATCAGACTATTCAGGGGGATGCAAGTCTAAATAACATGGAAGTGTCTCTTAAGACTATGACTCACATTTTACAACAAACAGGAGATGGATATTTGATGTATTCTGTAAGTCAAGGTGCTGGAGAGCAGAAACTGGCACCTGAAGGGAAGTGGAATGAAGTGATGGAAGAATATCCGGAGGTTTTCAAAGCAAGCTTGGACATGCCACCAGTCAGACCTTGTGATCATACTATAAATATCAAGGAAGGGGCTAGCATACCCAACCTCAGACCTTACAGGTATTCTTATGATCAAAAGAATGTGATTGAGACTATTATTCAAGAAATGCTAAATTCTGGAATTATAAGGAATAGTAACAGCCCTTACAGCAGCCCAGTGTTATTAGCTAAAAAAAGATGGGGGTTGGAGAATGTGTGGAGATTATAGAGCTTTGAACAAGATAACTATTCCAGACAAATTCCCTATACCAATTATTGAAGAACTCTTAGATGAATTAGGAGGATCTAAGGTGTTCTCTAAATTGGATTTAAAATCTGGTTATCACCAGATTAGAATGAAAGAGGAGGATGCCCATAAAACTGCTTTCAGAACCCACGAAGGGCATTATGAATATGTGGTTATGCCATTTGGGTTGACCAATGCACCTTCTACTTTTCAAGCCTTGATGAATGAAGTTAGGAAGTTTGCTTTAGTGTTTTTTGTTGATATTCTGGTTTATAGCAAATCAGAAGAACATATAGAGCATTTAAGAAAGGTACTAAAAGCATTGAAGGATAACAACTTGGTAGCAAATCAGAAGAAGTGTTTTTTGGGTCAGACTACATTGACATATCTGGGTCATATCATTTCTGAAGAGGGGGTATCTGCAGATCCTGAAAAAATAGAAGCTATGGTCAGTTGGGTGGAACCTAAGGATTTGAAAAGCTTGCGGGGTTTTCTGGGACTGACCGGATACTACAGGAGGTTCGTAAAAGGATACAGCAGAATTGCAGCTCCTCTAACACAATTACTGAAGAAAGACAATTTTCATTGGGGAAAGGAGGCTAGTTTGGCCTTTGCAGAACTGAAACAAGCCATGACATCATTACCAGTTTTAGTCAATCCAGATTTTAATAAAGATTTCATTATTGAAACGGATGCTTCTGGTAAAGGATTGGGGGCTGTGCTAATGCAAGATGGGAGACCCATAGCATTAATGAGTAAGGAGTTATCTGTGAAGCATCAAACCAAGTCCATTTATGAGGAGTTAATGGCAATAGTTTTTGCTGTTCAGAAATGGCGACCTTACTTATTGGGAAGGAAATTTGAAGTGCATACGGACCAAAGAAGCCTTAAATACTTAACTGAACAGACAGTCGTGGGAGCAGAGCAACAAAAATGGATAGCCAAATTGCTAGGCTATGATTTTGTTATTAAATACAAACCAGGTTTGGAGAACAAAGCTGCAGATGCATTGTCCAGGAAGGTTCAACTTAATTCAATCTGTGTAGTCACTTGTCTGGAGTGGGAAGGATTGGAGGAGGAGCTGTTAGCTGATCAGAAATGTTATGAAACCATTCAGAAAATATTGAGTCAGCCGGATCAAATACCAGAGTTCAGACTGAAGAAGGGATTGTTATATTTTAAAGGAAGGCTAATGTTACCAAAAGGTTCTCCTAGGATTACCAAAATCCTTGAGGAGTATCATGATTCAGCCACAGGAGGTCATTCTGGACATTTCAGAACTATGAAAAGGATATCAACCTTATTCTATTGGGTTGGTATGAGGAAGGATATTCAAAATTATGTTCAGGCTTGTGAAATATGCCAAAGGAACAAGTATCGGGCACTGAAACCAGCTGGGTTGTTGCAGCCTTTACCCATACCGGAAAGAATATGGTCTGACATTAGCATGGATTTTATAGGCGGACTGCCGAAATCTAAAGGGAGGGATACAATCTTGGTGGTGGTCGACAGGCTAACTAAATTTGCTCACTTCGTAGCTCTTACCCACCCATATACAGCTAAAGGAGTAGCGGAGTTGTTTATTAAAGAGGTGGTGAAGCTTCATGGATTTCCAAAATCAATTGTGAGCGATAAAGACAGTATCTTTTTGAGTAAATTCTGGTCAGAATTGTTCAGATTGGCTGGCACCCAACTGAATTATAGCACAGCTTACCATCCACAATCCGACGGGCAAACGGAGGTGGTAAATAGATGTCTGGAGACGTATTTGAGATGCTTGACTGGGAAGAAACCTAAAGAGTGGGTACTATGGTTACCCTGGGCAGAATACTGGTATAATACCAATTACCACATCTCATTAAAACAGACTCCCTATAAAACTCTTTATGGGCAAGATCCACCAATCATCATCAAAGGGGATGTATCTATCACCGCTATAGATGAAGTGGCAAGGATGACTGCTGAAAGAAACAGGATGCTAATGGAAATCAAGGAAAACTTAGCCATTGCTCAAAATAAGATGAAGCAGCAGGCTAACAAACACAGGAGGGAATTGAAGCTAGAAGTTGGGGAACAAGTTTTTCTGAAGATTCAACCCTACAGAATGCAGAGTTTGGCCAGAAGGTTGAATCAGAAACTAAGTCCTAGATTTTATGGACCTTTTGAGATTATTGAGAAGCTGAACGAGGTTGCCTACAAACTGAAGTTGCCAGAAAACTGTTTGATACATCCTGTTTTCCATATCTCTTTGCTCAAGAAAGTATTGTCGCCAAACACAAATTGTCAACCATTGCCCAAATGCTTGAATGAGAACTGGGAATTGCAGGTTGTACCAGAGAAGGTGGTGGACTCCAGGAGAAGAGTGGATGGAGTAACAGAGTTTCTCATACATTGGAAAGACCTGCCTGAGTTTGAGAGATCTTGGGAAGATGCAAAAGTGTTGAAAGAGCAGTTTCCAGACTTCTATCTTGAGGACAAGATAGATTTTCCTCAGGGGAGTATTGATAGAGACCCATCTAATCCGAACACTGGTGATCCATATTTTGGCAGAGTGTACTCGAGAAGGAGGAAATAAGCTGCGAGTCTTGGGTTCTTTTTTTGTTATTAAATGAATAACCACTTTCTGTTTTAAGAATACTATAAATAGAAGTAAGGCTGGGGGGAGGGGGCAGGCTGTTATGACGGAAGTTGTCAGGACTGGGAAGTTAGAGATTTATTGTCTCTTTCTTTTGGGGGCTTCGGCCTTGGTTGCTTGATCATCTCAATACATTTGTTGGTTATTTCCTCATAATTCTCTTCTATTCTTTCTGTGATCTGGTTGTGTTTTATCAGTCTTTTGAAGCTGTGTGCCTGGATTTTAACATTTCTCCCAAGTCCCAAGAAATTGGAAATGGAAGGTCCTCTATAAATTTAATCAATGCGTGCTGCACTGCATCGTTCTTTTTTTGGGTGTGTGACACATGAGCAGTTGTGTTTTTACACCTTCATTCCCCTCATTTTGTTAACTGTAACTTCTATAAAGTGTTGAATCTAGTGTACTCTTGTTCTTTCAGGTGTTTGATAAGATGATTCAGTTTTATCCAACAAGAGAAAAATCAAGATCATCAGCAAGAGAGTTGTTTTCCACGTACCCATGCGTTGGATTGCTGCATATTGCTGTAAGTTTCATTGGAGGCATAACTTTGACTTTAGTTATTATTGCAGAGAGACAGAGATGCCAAAGCAAGTGAACATCTATGCATATTTTTTGCTGAACAAGTGAATATATTGATTCAGGATTTAATCTTCATCATACCTGGACAACTTTTTCTGTAGGCTGTATAATAAAATGATAGTCTGTGCCTTTGTGGTTAAATAAGTAGTCTTTATGTCCAATTCACTCTTAGCCATTAAATATTTTTGCTGAATATATTCAAGTCTCTCTATATTCTTTTGCAATCCCATGCTGTAATTGGTTTATTGTTTTAGAATGACTGGTCAATAATGATGAGAAGTAGACATAAAGATCTCATCAATTAAGTTTTGTGCACATTTAATATATGTCCTCAATAACATCTTAATTCCCATCAAATTAGCTTGTTCACGGATCTTGATTGATATCATGTGCACTCGGCATATGGTCTCCAACTTATGTATCTTCTTGTGCGGACATTCTAATTGCTTGCCATCTTACGATTGTACAAAAAAGTTGGTTTTGAAGAGAACTAGAAAGCTTGGGAATATGATGGAATAAAGTAAAATGGCTCTGTTGAGAACAGAAAAATAAAAATCAAAGGCGTAAACCGTTGCCCAAATAATCAACGATAAAAACCGTTACCCGAGCCAAAAGGCTGAAATCCAACTTTATTCCAAGATGATCAAGAATGAAGCATACAAGGGGTATAAATAACCCTCTAAGTCTAATAAGAATAGGAATTCTAATTAAATCATAATAGGAAACTAAATAGAATAGGAAACCTCTAGTTCTAATAGAAATCCTAATTAAACCATTCTAGGAAACTAAATGGAAATAGGAAACCTCTATTTAGGAAACACAATAAAAGGAATAATTAAAATTTATTAAATTGCCCGCAGCCAGTCCATGAAGGTGGGCTCAAGCCCGTCCCTTGCTCTCCCTGCTCTCTATCAGGCTCACTAAACGGTCTACGCTTCTGTTATGAAACAATAGTCAGTCCATGCAATTTTCAATGCGATTTTCATCATGGGTCATCCAGAATCAGTCTCTCTGTGTTTTAGTACAGGGGTAAGGCTGCGTACACCCGACCCCCCTTACCCCACCGTAGGTGGGAGCCTTTGCGGCACGGGTAATGTTGTTGTTGTGAATGTTTACCAATTTTGGCTCCCCTAACATATGAATTATATTTCTGTAATCGAATTAATGAATCTGGAAGATTACAATCCATGAGAGAAGTAATGTTGTTACAATTCATGGTTTGTTCAAAATTCTGGTTATGGTTGCATACATTTTATTCTCTTTTGGCTTTCTGTAGGTTTTTTATTATTGGGATTATAAATAGGAACTTTCTTGGTCAATGGTTATGAGTAATATCAGTTCTATCCTTACTAGTCTTAACTAAGTAGTTGATAGTTGATGCCATCTTATCTTAAATTTGGATCCTTTTAGGGTGGTTTATTTGGTTGGGTTGTATGAGTAACTTTGTGGCATTGGGTGTTCAGGCAGTTCCACAGTTGACTTATCGACTTTCACGTGTTTGATAGGTGACATCCATTAAAAGTGGAATGTTGGATAGCATGTATGACACCTTCCAAAATGTGTGGCAACCTGAAGTTGCAAACAAAAGATCTGAGAATCGTTCTGATTTTATATCCATTGATGTTGAATCATCATCACCTTCACCATCACCATCACCACCATCATCACCTAGAAGGAATGTGTCCAACCTCCCTAAAAAACCTGTGGAGCCTGAGCATGGTGAGATTTTATTCTCCTTTATGTGTTTCTATTTCTCTGAGTTCTTATATTGGTTATATACTTATATACTTCGAAAAGCAGTTGAGTTAAACATTAAATATATAGAAAAACCTTTCAAGACAGAAGGAACACACTTCATTTTCATTTATCAACTGCTCCTAAGCTGAGGCTTCTAGAAAACATCCTTCTTCAGTGCAGTAGCTTAGTAGAGCCGATCATGCTCTACATGAATTTTCAAAATCTAGCATTATTTGGAACAAAACTTTATGTAGACCAAAAGTAGTGTTTTCTATTGGGTAATATTAATCTACACATATTTTGTTTAAATTCGTGGGGCTGTCTGAAGTATGCTATGTATCTAGTCTGACCCTACTTCTCATTTTTTTCTGGATATCAATCACTGGATTAAATGAATTCTAATTTTACAATATGCTTGCATACATATGATTTACTGTTATTGTTGTTGACATTGTTATAAATTACTCAGTATTATTATGGTTGTTGTAATTCTCATTATGATTGTGGTTATTATTATAATGATTATTGTTATTATTATCATGATTATGATTGTTGTTGTCATCGTCGCCGCCGCCGTCTATTATTATTACTATTATTATGTCCACCATCCTTTCAAAAAAATATCCATCATCATCATCATTGTCATCGTCATCATTATGAATAATAAGAATACTTGTTACTCCGCATTATTTAAAATTTTAAATATCTACATTTTTTATATTGGTCTGGCTGGGATGTTGATGGTCTGGTTCATCATTTTAATGAGGAAAAAAGGTGCTTACTGTTTAGATTTATCAGTGCTATTTTATAGATCCCAGATCACTCAGCATCTTGTATGTTTCAACAGGTGTCTCAGTTGAGGACATTGCGGGAAAAATTTCTGCATATTTGGAGGTTGACAATGACAGATTTAACTCATTCACTGATAAGTTAACCATCTTGAGGAAACTATGCAAACTTGAATCTTGGGTATCAGACCAGTTCTCCTGTAAGGCATTTGAGTCACTTGGTTATGGAGATATTTGGTCCTTCATGGAAAAGCATATGCAATTTATTGTATGTGCTCTGCAGAGGAGCATGAGAAGTGATATTGGTGAGAATCTTCCCCTGAAAGCCTCCATGTTTGAGCGACAGTTTGATGTCTTTGTATCACAGGCTTTACACCGTGTATTGGATAATGAAAAGTTAAACCTGCAAAAGGTTTCTGAGTTGCTAACTAGACAATTCCCCTCGGTATGTTTTCAGCTGGTACAGAGTGATTTGTTGGAAGACTTTGATGATAGTAAAAAGGAGAAAGCTGCCACAAGCTCGAAGTGTATAATATTTTCTGAAACTTTGTTAAAAGCTGATGGGTTGAGTAAAAGCGGGTTAAATACCTCGGAAATATCTGTCTTAGAATTTAGCATGGGAAGAGATGCTTCTTCTCACACTCTTGTAACATCCAAAGATGTAATGCAAGTTTTGCTCAAAGCCCCGATGCTTACAGATTTAAGATTGTGGTCTCACTGGGACTTTGCTTTTGCTCCTTCACTGGGTTCTCTTGTTGGCTGGTTATTGAAAGAGGTGAATACAGAAGGGCTGTTGTGTTTGGTGACAAAAGATGGAAAGGTGATTCGAGTAGACCATGCAGCAACCACAGATTCTTTCTTAGAAGTTCTTCTGCAGAAGTCTGCTTTTGAAACTGCCCTAAAGCTGTTATCTTTGTTAACTTTATATGGTGGTGAACAAAGTGTTCCTTTGGCCCTCCTGAAGTGCTATGCCTGCAAGGCGTTTGAAGCTTTTTCAAAAAGTTCCTTAGACATGGATTCAATTGATTACAAGAGTATGCCAAGTGATGTAAACACTGGTTCAGTGACAAGCGGGAGCAGACTTAATAAAGCAAAGTCTGTTGCATCGAGGTTTATAATAGAGTGTCTGGACTATTTACCCCTTGAGTTCTGCCCTTTTGCTGCTGATATCTTGCTCTTTGGGTTGCAGCAGATTGCTAAAGATGCTGCTTCAGCTGTACTGAATGAATGCAAAATGATTAAACATCGTGTGCTGCTTCATGACATTGGGTTTGCACTTGGTATTGCGGAATGGGTTGATGATTACTACTCATTTTCTTCCTCTGCATCAGCCACTAGCTTATCAATGTATTCTGAATCTTCTTTCCTACAAGGCTACATCCCCGAGCTAAACACCAACTCAAATCAATTGCAAGCTCTATCAACCAAAAGTTTGTTGTCTGAAGTTAATAATATCTCCCTTGAGACAATGCCACATAGTGATGATGATGGAGGAATGTGTCAAACCAGTAATGTTGCTTCTGTTCCAGTTGATTGTTTGGGTGGAGGTCCAACAAATCAGTTGTATGACCTTGGTCCAGCCCAAGTTATTGAATCTATAAGGCGGGAAGAATTTGGTTTGAACCCAGACATTTCATCTGTTGAAAGTGAAAGGTTGACTAAGCAACATGCACGGTTAGGCAGAGCACTCCAGTGTCTCTCTCATGAGTTATATTCTCAGGATTCACATTTCCTTCTGGAATTGGTGAGTATGTTCTTTGCATGCTCTGTATTGTTTAGTTTCAGTAACTTACATTAGCTTGGAACTAACATATCCTCCACCTGTTTACTGCTGTATTTAATTACTGTAACTTTATTCTTAATGTTAAACAGTTACTTTCTGGAACCAACATATCCTCCATCTGTACTTTCTTAATGTTTACCAATCTTGCCTGGAATGCCTGGTATGGCTTTTTAATAATGTGATGTAAATTCTTCAGTATATTATTTGCATGTCATATTCACAATTTCAATCATATAATGGACATGAGAGAAGCAAATATAAACACATAGCCCGTCGCTTGATATTTTTCATGCATGTGGAGATAACCAATGACTGATTTAGAATTATCATCTCACTAATCCTTCTTAAGAAGGCTGCTACAGGAATGTCATCTGTGCAAAATCATTGCTCTACGTTTTTTTGAATGAACCAATAGTGCTAACTCATATGATACATCTAATTGGCACAAGCTTAACACACTCTACATATTTACACTTACCATTCTTATAACTTGTACTTCCTCCGTTCTTTAATAAGTGCAACACTTTCCATTTTCAGCAGTTTCAAATTAAATGCAACCTTTCTATTTTGGGAAAGAAATACTAAGCCAATTGACCTCTATACCCTTCATCGTGTACAACCCTTCCTTTTCTATTTTTTGACTTTTTCTTTAATTTCTCCATCCACCCACGAGTCCACGACTCCATTCTCCTTTACAGCTTCTAGCTCTTTCGTTTGTGTATCATCTGCGATTCTCTTCACCAACTCAACCAATTCTCCATTTCTTTTCCATTACTTCCCTCATTTATTTTTCTTTTCTCTGATTTGTATTTTAATTATGGCCGAAACGGAAGACATGGACATACATGAAACGGATTTTGCTCCGGTTACTCCCCCACAAGCTGAGACACGGCGGTTATGGTGGCCTCTAGGCATCGGCCGACTGCTGCAGCTTCCGGATCATTGTCCACGTGGGATGACGATTGGCGGGAGCGGACGAAGGGGTTTTGAGCTGGCTTCACGCCATGGGAGGAGGATGGAGTCGCTCACCGGAGTTTAGGTGAGATTCAAAGGGGGTCTTCGTCTTCCGAAAGTGAGCAGTACACCTGGGCTTGCTGTTTTATTTCTTGTCTGTAATAATTTTATCCACTTTTAGGTACTGTTGTGGCGGCTACTTTCTTATGTAGAAGGGTAAAATAGTGAAGTCCAACCCCTTTACACGGTCTCTTAATCTTTGTGCCCAACTGCATTTTTCACTTATATCCGAACGGAGGAAGTATTTTCAATCGCAGCTTGTTAGGTGTTGATTTTAAGTTTTAACGGGTCCTTGCAACTGTATTTATAAGCAAAGCTCCTCCAAGAAACGGGAGATGACACCTCTGCTTATTTAATCAAGTATACTAGTATACTAATCTTATCAACACCTAAACAAGTCGTGTTTGCCTACCACCTAACATTGTTTGGAACTTTGGACCAAAAGTAACTTTTACTTGCCATGTTTGCACAACATAGGTACATCTTAAAATAATGTGGGTGACTAGTGTTACTCTTTCAACCCTAAACAGTAATAGTCTTCAAACACCTATACAAGTCAATTTAATATACTCCTCCGTCCCTTAAAACTTGGCCAAGTTTGACCGGCACGAGGATTAGTAAAGTAAAACTGTGTGGTTGAGGTTTGTGAAGAGGAGAGAGAATTAACTTGAACCACAAATTCATTACTTAAAAGGGAATGTGTCAAAGTTAGTGGGATAAGTGGACAACCAAAAAAAGAAAGTTGACAAAGTTTTAAAGGACGAATGGAGTAACACCTAATATTTTTTGGAGCTTTACTCTCGAAGTTTTACTATGCTATATTGCTATGAATTGTGGTAAAAGTCAATTAGTGCATTATCTGTTTTGATGACAGTACCATCATTTGCAATGGAGCCAAAGGCTCACTATTTTTTGGCTTGAGAATATGATGGAATAAAGCAAAATGACTCACTAAACTGTTTGCGATTCTTTGCTATGAAGCAGCGGTCACTCCAAGCAATTTTGGACGCAATGTTCACTATGGGTCATCCGAAAACAGTCTCTTTGTGCTTTAGTACAGGGGTAAGACTGCGTACATCCGACCCCCCTTACCCCACTGTAGGTGGGAGCCTTTGCGGCATTGGGTTGGGATCAATTGCACTGCTGGTATTTTAGATGAAATGGTTGCAAAAGGTTAACCCGCTTTGCACTCAGCTTACTTAAAGCTGATATTTTTTCACTGCTGTTATAGCTGTTGGTTTTAAAGGTTCAGTTTATAATCTTTGACCTGTTCAAACAGCAAGATCTAACTTAATGTCTCTCTGGATAATATGTGGTCGATTCAGGTTCAGAATGCTGATGACAACATCTACCCAAAAAATGTCGAGCCCACATTGACATTTGTTCTTCTGGATAGGGGCATTGTAGTGCTAAATAATGAGCAAGGTTTTTCCACCAAAAACATCAGAGCACTTTGTGATGTTGGGAATTCCACGAAGAAAGGGCACAATTCTGGATATATTGGGAAGAAGGGCATTGGCTTCAAATCTGTGTTTAGGGTATTGGCGTATTGTACATTTGCACATTATTGTATCTAATGAAATTTTAATCAAATGGAATTCTCTGTTTTGAAAGAAAAAAACTTTGTCTGGAATTAATGAAGTATTATGGTTATTAGAGGAAAAGATACTGAATGCTGTGCAGAAGTAGCTACCGGTAAAACCATCGCATTTCTTAAAGTCGCATCAAACTAGTCAAAAGCTTTTTATGTACATAAAATATTATTGTTTCTTTGGTTACTATACCTTGAGAGTACCTGACTCTTATTTGCAAGAATAAGTTAATTGCACGAGTTTACTGCACGAGAAATGTAATTGTTATCAGCTATATAAACAAAAATATATACTATCAGCTTATATTGATATTAACTTAAGTTATTTTAATTCTTCTGCAGGTCACTGATGCACCTGAAATTCATTCCAATGGTTTTAATGTAAAGTTTGATATAACTAAGGGAGAGATAGGTATTGTTTTGCCAACTCTTATTCCTCCTTGTGACATTGATTTTTATTCCAGGCTGGCGTATACAGATACTGATCCCTTGACATCTAACTGCTGGAAGACATGCATTCTCCTCCCCTTTAGATCACACATGTTAGTAGATTCTGCTATAAAAAACATCGCATCAATGTTTTCAGATCTGCATCCATCTTTGCTACTTTTTCTTAACCGCCTTCGATGTATCAAATTTCGAGATATGCTCAGTAATTCATTTGTTGTTATGAGGAAAGAAGTTGTTGGTGATGGTATTGTTAGAGTTTCCTGTGGAAAGGAAAAAATGGTTTGGCTTGTAGTATCCCATAAGTTACGGGCTGATGTCATTCGCCCTGAAGTGCAAACAACAGAAATATCCATGGCTTTTACGTTGCAGGAGACACTTGATGGAAGCTACATTCCAAACCTGAGCCAACAGCCTGTTTTTTCATTTCTTCCTCTGAGAAAATATGGCCTAAAGTTTATTCTTCAGGGTGACTTTATTTTGCCTTCATCCAGGGAAGAAGTTGATGGAAATAGCCCTTGGAATCAGTGGTTACTCTCTGAGTTTCCTAATCTGTTTATTAGTGCAGAAAAATCCTTTTGCAATCTTCTATGCTTTAGAAATAACCCAGCAAAGGGCATTGCAGTATATATGGCTTTTGTTCCTATTATCGGGGAAGTGCATGGATTCTTTTCTTGTCTTCCTCAGATGATTCTTTCTAGACTGCGGATGTCAAAGTGTTTGGTTCTAGATGGCGAGGGGAATGAGTGGGTTCTTCCTTGCAAAGTTCTGAGAAACTGGACTGAACAGGTTCGCACTCTTTTGCCTGATAACTTGCTTCGTGAGCATCTTGGGCTTGGATATTTGCATAAAGATATAGTTTTATCTGATTCATTAGCAAGGGCTCTGGGAATTGAGGAGTATGGACCCAAAATTCTTATCCAGATTTTGTCCTCCTTATGCTGTAAAGAGGATGCCTTGAAATCCATGGGCTTACCTTGGTTATCAGCATGGCTGAATTCCTTCTATACGATGTCATTCCTAAACCCTGGGCAAAGTTCACCTGACTCTGGGATAGGATCAGATATCATAGACTGCTTAAGGAAAATTCGGTTTATTCCTCTTTCAGATGGTAAATTTAGCTCAATGGATGAAGGTGCTATTTGGTTGCATACTGATGCATTAAACATTGGTAGAAGTGACACAGATGGTCTGCACAATTTCCCTTTAGTGTATGCTGGACTTAGAATAGTGAATTCTGCCTTATTCTCTGCAGATACAACTTATGACACATTGGGCTTTCGAGTGTCTTCAGTTGAAAATATAGCAAGGGTGCTATACAGAGTTGGCGTCCAACAGTTATCTGCGCATCAAATAATAAAAATGCACATTCTTCCTCTTTTATCTGTTGGTCAACACACCTTGGTACATAACAAACTAATGACTGATTGTATTTCTTTCATGATGTTCCACCTACAGTCAAACTGCTCCAACTGTTTTCTGGAAAGAGATCTTATCATTGGTGAATTACACATCAAAGCTCCCATTTTAACAAATTATGGTTACAGACGATGTGCAGAGGTTCCAATCCATTTCAGTAAAGAATATGATAATCCTATTGATATGAAGCACTTAGTAACAGGCACTAGTGTGGAGTGGTTTGAAGTACAAAGTGTGTATTTAGAGCATCCAATTACAAAATTGGTTCCAGGAGGAATTTCAAAGTGGAGAAACTTCTTCATGGACTTGGGGATCACTGATTTTTTAAAGATTGTTCTGGTTGAGAAAAGCATCGCGGATCTCTCTCCCATGGTCCTACAGAGTATAACATGTGATAAAGATTTATTTTCTGAAGAGCCAAATGTTAAAGATTGGGAATCTGAAGAATTTATTCATTTCCTGTCACAACTATCTACTAATAACGATAAAGAGAGGTCTAAGCATCTATTGGAGATAGTTGATTCATTATGGGATGATTGTTTCAGTGAAAAGGTTAATGGTTTCTTTGTTAAATCCAGTGGACAAAGGAAAGTATTTGAATCTTCATTTGCTAGTAGCCTTCGTAGTGCTAAGTGGATTGTTTCTAGCATGGATGGCGATCTCCACTTCCCTCAAGACCTATACTTCAATTGTGAATCGGTGCGATCAATTTTGGGTGACTCTGCACCTTATGCTGTTCCAAAGGTTAATTTTATCATTATTTTGAATGACCTACTAAATATTCAATTAAAACTTGTATATTTGTAAAATATGTCTACCTGTGTTGTATTTCTCATTTTTAAATTACCGGTTTACTTGCCGGACTTCGGTTAATCATTGTTTTGTGTGGTCTTGTATTTTTCCACCCTTTTCATTAGAAGATTGAGCATACTTCCAGTTAGATTTATTTTTAAAAGCTTGACCCATACTTTAGCCGTTTGTTCTTTAGTCTTTACCAACTTTCTTATGCTCTCTCTACTTGACTTTCTTTATACCGGACTTTTTGTTCATCCTTGCTTCTCTACTAAACAGGTGACTTAGATATTTGATTGTTCTATCATTCAATTATTGTTGTAAATAAATAAATACGAGTATGATTTACTAAGTCATAATTAATTAAGTTTTTTAGTGATCTTGACCTACTGAGCCTCTCGAGGCTTATGCCTCATGAGGCTAAAGCAGAGCGTCTTGAAGTCCATTTTAGGTTTTTTAAACCTTGATCCTTTTAGTGTTTATTTCAAGATGCAAGCCTTTCTTTCTCACACAGACGCCTAAACTCCTAAAGCCTCACAGTTTCAATTCTCACATGATTATATTATCTACTTATCATCATCATTTTCATTTACCCCAGCGCCGCAAAGGCTCCCACCTACGGTGGGGTAAGGGGGGGTCAGATGTACGCAGTCTTACCCCTGTACTAAAGCACAAAGAGACTGTTTCCGGATGACCCATAATGAAAATCACGTCCAAAATTGCATGGACTGACTGCTGCTTCATAACAAAGAAGCGCAGACAGTTTAGTGAGCCATTTTGCTTTATTCCATCATAATCTCAAGCCAAAAAATAACGAATCTTTGGCTCCATTGCAAATGATGGAAACTTATATTATCTACTTATCTGCGTATAAATAAGCCTATCTCTATTGTATATCAATAATCAATATATGTATTATACTACACTTAGCTGGGTTTAGAATGACATTGTTCGAAGTAACAAAAAAGAATGCCAATGTCCTATTGTTTTTCGTGGAGTAGGTGAAGAGCAAGAAGTTGGCGACTGCGCTTGGTTTGAAAACTCAGGTAACAATTGACGATGCCCTATCTATTCTGAAGGTTTGGAGAAGATCTGAATCATCTTTTAGAGCCAGGTACATTATTCTTGCATACTCTATTACTCACAACATAAGAGAAGTAGTCCAGAAGGTTTTTGATTTCTTATCTTTTTTATTCACCAGATATTTTTTTATATAATTCATATTTTAACTTATGTCTCAAATAATTGTCTATTTTTCTGTTTCCAGCTCATTGCAAATATCTAAATTCTACACTTACATATGGAATGGAGTATCCACTTCTGAGCTACGAGTTGTGAATGATCTATGTGATGGCCCTTTTATATTTTTCCCAAGCATGTGTAGTTCTCAGCCTGATGATGCTGTATCTGGTGTATTTTTGTCAGCTAAAGAAGTCTATTGGCATGATTCAACTGGTTTTTTGGATCAAATAAAATTAATCCGCCCTGAATGTGCTGCAGATTTGACTCTACGTCCTGTATGTAGTGTGTATCCCAGCCTTCATGATTTTTTTGTGACTCTGTGTGGAGTGGTTGAGTTCCCTCCTTTTTGTGGCTACATTCAGATTTTGCAGCAATTGTCAGCTGTTACTTTGCCTTCACAGGTGGCTAAGACTGTAAGCAACTAACACTAGGAAACATAAATTCAACTTATCAATGAAACGCTGGTGCAAGAGTGCAGCTAACGTCTTCTCTTATTCAGTTTTTCCAGGTGTTTCTGAAGTGGTCTGAAGAATTGGAATTAGGCTCTCTTAGCTCTGAAGATATTGAATCTTTGAAAGATGACCTTCAACAGAAAGACTTTACTGTGCTCCCCACTGTACATGATAAATGGGTATCTTTGAATCCATCTTTTGGCATCATCTGTTGGTGTGATGATGATATACTGAAGAAAGAATTTGAGGATCATGACAACATCGACTTTTTACACTTCGGGAAACTTACCAGCGAGGAAAGGGAGTTGCTTCACTCGAAGGTGTCAATTCTCATGCAAAAGTTAGGCATCCCTGCGCTTACAGAGGTAAGCTTAACCTCCTTTGGCTCATTAATGTACATGTTGTACACTTAGTCCGCTTGTTTAAATCCCCAAGCGCGCTTAAGCTACAAAAGCGAGCGAACAATTGAAAGGAGCTTCACTTTGTGAATATCAGATGCATTAGAAAGCGTGCACTTTTCATCTCTTCGCTAAGTGTCAAAGTGATGCCTTTTCTGTTCGTATTTCATACTGTATTCTTTACCTGCCCGTGTTGCTCTCTGAAGTGGTTTGGGAAAACATGTTCCTTTTATAGTGAATTTTGTTTGTTCTGCTATATTAGTGATTGAAATCTTCTACAAGGTTATGGCAATCCGCTAGTTTTCTAAAAATATCTTGGACTGTATCACATCTCAAAAAAGAAAGAAAAATGAAATATTTGTTACCAAATATTTACAAGCTGCAATTGTTTGTAGCACAAGTGCTTGACCTTTTAATTAGAAAATCCTTTGGAAATTTTAATTCTTAATTTTTGTTAAATTACTGTACTTCTGTTTATATATGTGTGTATATGGATTATGGAGCTAACTATTGATATATTCTCACAAGTCCACATGTGAACCCGCATTGGAGTTTCACTTTTCTGTACAGCCAACTATCGAGTCTTCTCTCTCTGCATTGTGTGTTATATGGTTAAGCTTTTATACACACACAAACAAATATTCTGGCATGTAATGTATGCATTGATGTGCATATGTGACATCACTGTATACATCATGAAAGTTTCAGCTCGTTTACACAATTACATGCATATTTTGACCTCAAAGTATACAAATATACCGATTATCCGGTACGCTGATATCTAGAACAGAAAATATTCTATCCGCATGCATAAACTGTAGACCCACACTTCTGCCCTCACATTATACATGTCCCAGGAAATTTGCATACATTAAAGCTGGAAATATAGGTAATTCCTTCTCATATAGAGCAGATAGCGTTATAATGACAGTTCAAAACCGGGTAGCCCACGGACTTGCGAGTGAAGCTTGTCTTGGGTCTGATGGTACTTGGGTGGGAATTCCCCCTAAGTGTATTGCTCTTGTATCGAGGAACGATGATTATTAATGAAGTTAGAGTGAATTCCCCAAATAGAAGTAAAACATAGGCAAAATGCAAAAACAGAACTACCATGTTTTGAATAGGAGTGATTTTAGTGTTTGGACAAATATACCCCTACCCAAGCCCCAAGCCCCAACCACTTTCATTAATAATTAAAACATAAAAGAAATAACATTAATTTAGGGAAAACTGTCAAATAAATCCCCATACTATGTTCAAAAAGTCAATTAAGTCTTTATACTTTAAACTCAATCAATTGAATCCTCAAACGTTTAAAAAATGGTCAATTAAGCATTTTAATAGGTAACCATCCAATTTCTGGTTAATTACATGCGTGTCTTTCCAAGTGGCTTTTATAATATTGTCAATTTTTCTAAATTCTATCTTACATCCTCTTCCTCACTGACCTTACTCCTGTTCTTAGCCAAACCAAGCCCTCCATCCGGCTACTCGCGAGTCCAAGAATATTAACCAGGTCACGCTCCATAAGATTATTTTGACTTCGATCTCTATTTTCTGTCGCTCTTGAAGTCGCGGCAGTCGTTGTTGTCTTGGGCAATGAAGAAAGAAGTGCAGCTTCATGGTTTTTGAAGCTGATTTTGGACGATCGTTATGGCTCAGGCGAGAAGGTCGAGACCACGACCTCACCCGACTCAAGGTGTTTCAGCGGAACCCTTTTGTGTTTTGGGTCCTCATATGTTTCCGAGAAAAAACCCAGATGTGACTGATTTTCCAAAAACCCATTGAAGTATCAAAAATTGCAGATTTGGGTGCTCATTGAAGGGTACTTGAGCTCTTTATGTGGCTGGTGGTTGCGGCGGTGTAACCGTGTAAGCGTGGTAGCTGGTGGGTGCACGAACATGCAGTGGGAAGCTATAACCGTGTAGGTACCGTAGCCATTTGTATTTGTCGGAGAAGATCCCAGCTATAATTGGGTAAGTTGCCAGTCCACTACACTACATAACAGTCCAAGGAAGGCTCTATGTCTGCAGCAGGCCTTTATTTGTCTTCTACCTTCCTCTCCCCTCACGTATGGAAGACCTTTCCACATGGAAGATGCAACACTTAATACTACAAATAACCAACAAATTGTGTTATTCAGTGCACATGAGCCTCCTATTGATGAAATAAATGCATATGAGCAAGGAAAGAGAAGGAAAAACCTGAGTACAACAGAAAGGGACATGATAGTTCAAAAACTTGTTATGACAATAAAAAAGGTACTGGTACAACCATTTTTCAGGTTCAGAGAGGCTTAATAAGCAAACTTGTTGTGGAGTTCAATGTCACAACAAGAACAGTTAGCAGAATCTGTAACAGAGCGAAGAAGCAAATACAGTTGGAGATGCCTATAGATGTGCAAAGCCAGATGGTAGGTAAAGTGGGAAGGAAAATCATACACTATGATGATGATTTAATTCTAGGCATCCCTTTACACAAAAGAACAACCATCAGGTCTCTGGGTATGGCCTTAGGATTGTCCAAGAACACATCACACAGACTGGTTAAGGCAGGTATGGTTAGAAGTTATACAAATGCCATTAAGCCACTACTGAATGATGGGAATAAACTGAAGAGGATGAAGTTCTGTCTAATACAGCTTCAACCATACTCTTTTCCCAACAATACCAGGTTTCAAGAATTCTCAAATGTTATTCATATTGATGAAAAATGGTTTTTCATGATGGAATTGATGGAGGGGGAAACGTAGGACGGCCTTGATGGAATCAATATGTACCATCACCATCCCTGAACGTCGCCTGAAGAGATTATCTGCGCCCCGTAGGCTGTAGACGAACGGCGGAGGAAGAAGCATCGCCAACTCCTTGAGGACATTGTCAGAGAAAGACTGTTCTATCCCAATCACGTTGGGCAGTTGCACGATGTGGCGACGGACGTCCATCGGGATCCCCTAGTTATAAACTTGCAGGTCATCCCTATCCCCAGTTGGGCCTCGTTCTCAGGGACAACGTCCATCTCAACGACATCTAGCTCTGCGCCCCCAGGGGCAACGCCCCCAGCCGCGATCACTCTGCCACTGCGGAAGGGCTGGAGCTGCCAGAGGTACTCACCTTCTCAGAGAGCGAGTCCTCGAATCTGAATCAAAAGAAGAAGAACCAGTAGATGAACCGGAACCAGAACTTGAGCTCGGCGAAATTTCCATGGAGACTGTCTTGATGGAAGAAGAGAAAAAGGGAGAAGGAGAGACGAAATCCGGAATTACCTCATGAGCTTAGGGAATGGGCACTTGGTGAAGCACTTTGGAGCACTGGCAGAAGAACGACGAACAACAAGAGCACTTGGGGACTAAAGCGGGGAGATGGAAACCCTAATCTCGCTAGAACGCCTGGTATTTATAGGGAGAAGCACCTCTCCGCGGACCAACCAGCAAGCGACACGTGGCGAGGAGCATACCCATGGACACATGTCGTGTGGAAACGAACGGGCACATAATGATTACCTTTCATCGGAAGTTATATCCATGGACCCATGGACACCAGTTCTCTACTTCATCATGTCCCGCGCACGTTCGGAACATCAGAAGTGAGAGACTTGTGTTGGGTTAATGGCCCAACTAGGGTTGGCCAATAAAACCCTTGAGGCCCACCCTACGAACGTCCCCAGAAGACGCGAAGGACAACAGGTTACCCTTCCGCTTATCCTGGCAAGATTCGTCCCCGGCAGGCCCAAGCCTCAACACCAAGGCCCAGGAGACGCACGTATCCTGGCATAGGCGGGTGCTCTGGCCTAGGGGCAACGTCTGACGCATGTCTCGCAGGACTTTGGGCCCAACAGAAAACAGGAGGCAAGCTCATGGGGACGAACGTCCCCACCTCTTGGCGGGAAGCCAAAATCCTGGAGGGAAGCGCATTTAATGCAGAAGATTTGGTGGTTGGGATCAAGCCATCCACCGCCCGCCACGTCAGTGCATCTAATGACCCATTGGTGGTATAAATTGCATCATTTATTTCATTGTAAAGGGTTGACAACTTAGCACTCTAGCATTCTGGCATTCATAGCAGTTCGTAGCATAGCAATTGTACGAACGGCCTCATACCTTAAAACATAGTGTATTGGATCATCTTACTGACGCATCCTCTTACTTGTTAATCACTTATTCTTCACATTTACACTCGAAATTCTTGTGTTACGTGTTGGGCCTACGGATTGAGGGAATAAACCTCAACACCTATATTAAAGTGTATTGCTTATTTCATTACCTAACCCACTTAGGAAACCTAGACAGACATGACAAATATAGGCTATGCACCCCAAGACTGTATAAAACTCCATTAAATGCTCAACCATTCATAAATAGCACAACACACATAAGTGAAGGATGATCAGCCGCCTAAGCCCATATGAAATGGGGGTGGCTAACACACCAACACAAAATTGAACTCTAGAATACAGTAAAGCCATTCATCATACCAAACCACACTTAAGTGTAGGAATGTAAGTCGCCATAACCTAATGGAATTGGGGGTGACTTACATACCAACACTAAATTGAACTCTCTTTACAGAATTAGCCATTCATCATTACCAAAACACACATAAGAAGTCTAGGAAAGCCAACCGCTTTAACCCAAACGAATTGGGGATGGCTAAGACATCCAGAAAACATAATTGGGGGTCTCAAAAGGAAAACACTCATCATGCATGTGAAATGCACCAAATAAACATCATAGGATTATAAGGAGTACTCCCCTAGGGCAACTTCTTGTCCCAAAGCTTAGGATCCCACTTAGGCATAAACAACTTGAGCCAGCTATCAAATGAAGCTTTTCGTTCAGGCGTCCACCGATAGTACGTCAATTGGAGTGGAAGAGTGTTGAAGTGGAAGAGTGATTGTATCCCATAGCATCAGAACAGGGTGGTTGAAGTGGAAGAGTGCGTCAGGATTTCTATGCGATCAAGGTATGCCGACTAGACTGAAGGGTAAATTTTATAGGACAACAATTAGGCTTGCATTACTGTATGACGTAGAGTGTTGGGCGGTGAAACAATGTCACATTCAAAAGACGAGTGTGACAGAGATGCGCATTCTGCGTTGGATGTGTGGGCATACTAGGAAGGACCACCTAAGTAATGAGACAATCAGACAAAGGGTGGGAGTAGCATCTATTGAAGACAAGATGCGGGAGTCGCGCCTACGGTGGTTTGGTCATGTGCGTAGAAGACTGAGTGATGCACCTTTCAGACGAGTTGAGATGTGTGGAGAAGAGGCAGAGAAGAGGGGGAGAGGAAGATCCAAACAGACGTGGGTTAGGGGAGTTCGAAGTGATATGCTTTTTCTGGGGTTAGATGAGGGCATGACTTTGGAGAGAGCTAAGTGGAGGGCGGGTATTCATGTGGAAGAGTGATCTCGTATCATCTTTTCCCCTCATCTTTTTTCCTTGTTTTTTATCCTTATATATAAGCATTATTTGCATCCTTTTTATTTTATCATTTTTATGTGTATTCATCTCTTTTTATATTATCTTTTTATAATAACTTATCTTTTTTATCTTTATTTCTTTTCTTTTCCTTTTGGTGGTGATATCATGTATCGATTCATGTTAGCCGACCCCAATATCTTTTGGGACTACGGCTTGAATGTTGTTGTTGTTGTCCACTGATAGTACGACGAAGCAACCAAGGGTGGGTAACGAGCACAGGTTGTTAGAACGCCACCGCCTTCCTCAGTCCCCTGACCTGACTCTTCTTCATCCGTTCGAAACCCTTCCATCCCGTCCGCCCGAATCCCACAAATGAGTTCCTCCCCTTCATCTTTCTCGTCAACACTGTCATACATGTCTGGGACATCAGAGCACTTCGCAGCCTTTACTGGTTCAACATGCATGGAGAAATTGGTCAGATCTGAGCCTTCCAAAACCCTATATTCATTGATTTTGACAGACGAATTAGATTGGTTGGGTGCAAAGGGCTGCATGAGGATATCATCACAAGTATATCAACGATGGAGCAAACCTCTGGCTCAGATGAGTCCATGGATATGACAGTGACGGAGGTCAGAGGTGAACGAAGCCTAGAAACACTGACAAGTATTGTACAGATGAAGATGAGGGTTTGGACAGAGCGAAATGAGAGATGAATGGTCGGGTTGAGGAAGGTGAGATGAGAAATGAAGGGTCAAACGAGAGGAAATGAAAAGCGACAAGTAAAGTGGGAGAGAGGAGAGAGATATAAGGATGAAATGATTAAAGGGTTTGGGGTGAGGGTATTTTAGGGAGTATTTGAGTAATGGGTTGCCTAAAATAGAAGGGAGACAATTTTTTCGGGACGGACCTAAAAAGAAAGCAGGTCAATTATTTCGGGATGGAGGGAGTATTAAATAAAAAACTAAAAATATTAAAAAAAAAGAAAAATGTAAAAAAATATAAAAAAAATATGCAGGCCTATGTTGCCGCTTCAATAACCTCCTAGCACCACCAGCTCCGACCACCAGAAAAAATGTCAACATTTGTCAGAAATGCCATCTGGATGGCAGTTTTCGAGAAAATTTGGCATTTTCAACATTTTCAAAGAGTAAAAATGTCACCTTTATGGCATTTTCAAAAAAAAATGACGGTTTTTACATATAATGGCATGTTTTTTGCAGATCAGAGGTCGCATTGTTGGGCGGTGGCCGAAGCTGCGGGAAAGGCCTCCATAATTTTTTAATATTTTTTAATGTGTTTTATCAAAAAAAATTAAAAGTTTTTTTATTTGTAAAATAATTTTTTTAATTTTTTTAATTTTTTAATATTTTCAAAAATATTTTAGAGTTTTTTATATTTTAACAGGACCAAATAAGTCATATTTTAGAATTAATTAATAAGATAAGGGGTCTTAAGGGTAGAAAGTTAATGTTTACTCCTATTGAGGGAAGTTTTAAGTTTCAAGTTTTACTCCTATTTGTGCAATAATGTTTATGTTTACTCCTATATTGGGCAATAACTTATGAAGTTATTGTTTCTCCAAAAAAAAGCAGATAGCGTCCTATGGATTTCTAGTTTTCTTCTGCAGCGCAAATAGTCTCCTTCAGAATGTGAAAACATGCTATTCTTCTCTTGCAGGTTGTAACTCGTGAAGCAATATATTATGGTGTGTCTGATTCAAGTTCTGTGGCTTCTCTGGTCAACTGGGTTCTTCCATATGCTCAACGCTATATATACAACAATCATCCTGAAATATTTTCTCAGCTCAAGCAATCTGAATTTGAAAACCTGAAATGTCTAAAATTAATTGTTGTGGAGAAGTTGTTCTACAGAAATGTGATTAAAGGACGCAAGATGCCATCCAGCAAAAGGTTCGAGTGCAACTCCCTTTTAAAGGTACACCCAAACCATTCTGTAGTTTTAATTGTTTGCTCATTTACTGAGTGGTGAGTTAGAAGGAAAAGAAATTCTTTCTACCCTTCTGGATTATCTGTTAAAATGATTAGGATACTAATAAGAACTAGATGTATTCCATATGTGAGGCGAGACATATACCTCAAAGTTCAAACTTTGTAGAAATCTCCCTTCATGAATCAAATTTACTAGCAATGTCAAATACCTTATCAATCATACATTGAAGACAGACATAATTGTCATAGATCTCTATCATATGTTTGACTCTGTTAAGAGAAGTCATCAAGGGTTTTTATTCCAAACAAAATAAAATACCTCGAAATGAAAAAAAAAAAGAAATGGCTAGAGATGTTCAGGAGAAATAAAAAAAATTGTAATGTTACTACTTCTGTCTTTATTGTTCGAATCAGAGGTAGAAAAAGTGCCTGGAGTTATTTGAACATCGCTGGAAAGGAGAAGAGGATAATAGTGGTATAGTTCCGCAATAATAGTTCACACTTCTAAAGGAGTGCCGGGTAGTTCTTACATCAAGTCAAATAGGTGAATTTGGTCACTACATTTTAGGGGATTAAATGGGCTTAGTGACTAACTAATAAAATAAAAATAGATATATTACTTGTTTAAATATAATAAGTCTAACAAAACTTAAAACAAAACACATGAGTCTTGAGGCTTAGTTTTTTAGTCAACCGCATGCTGAGGCGAGGCTTAATTTTTTAGTCAACCGCATGGGGCGGGACCGGGCTTGGGTCCACTTCCGTGGGCCGGTTACGGGCTGTCTTTATAGTTTATTTATTATTATTAAGTTAATGTTATGTTTTGGTTTGGGTCATATTAGTAGAGTACTTAGTAGAGTTAGTATGGGCCTAATTTGGATTTAATTAATTTGGTCTTGATTAGGGTTTCTTGTAAAAGGCTATTTATACCCTTGCCAGGGTTCATTCTTATTATCTTGGAATAAAATTGGTTTTAGCCTTTTGGCTCCGGCCAACGGTATTTTTATCGTTGATTATCTGGGCAACGGTTTACCCCGTTGATTTTATTTTTCTGTTACATAACAATTGATCTGACCCGCCGGATCCCGTCCCGCCGGAATGACGAGATCAAACACTGATCGTATAACGAAGGTAGAAGCTGAGCAAGCCTAATAAATGAGAAGCTCGACGCGCACGGATGGAAGTTGGATGCGTAGGTGATCCAGCTGACAGAGATTGCAGCGTCAGTCGGCGACGCCGCATCAGCACACATGGTCTGCAGTGGGTCGCGCGGCATAACGACCACCTTGCTACCCTCGTTTGACGGCGAAGATCCCATCGGATGGGTGGCCAGAGCTGAGAAACAATTTGAAATTCATCAAACCCTACCTGGAAGAAAAGTGGTGGCAGGTACGGTAGCCATGGAAGGGGCTGCCCTGTACTGGTTGACCTGGTTGAAGCCACGGAAACCGGGCCTGACTTGGGAGGAATTCACAGATGCGCCGGTGGCCCGTTTTGATTCATGGTTCAAGGGCAACCGATTTGAACGGCTGTCCGGGGCCAGACAGTTGGGAACCATAGAAGAATACAATAACCTTTTTGTGCAGTTGGCCAATCAGGTTCTTGGGCTGTCCGATGATCATTATTTGGGGTATTTCATGAACGGGCAGAAGGGACTGATTCGGGGATCCTTACGATTGCTGCGGCCAAATAGCCTGGATATTGCAATGGATTTGGCCAGAGATATTGAGGACAACTTGTCCTTTCAAGATGGAGACTGGGAAAGTCAACCCTACAACACGGACTTGAGTTCAGGCAGTTTTTCGAGCCCAAGTGGTAGTTACAGCACGGCCATAAAATTTCTGGAGGATGGATTGATAGGTAGCGGGAAGAGCATGGGGCAGGACCGGGCTGGAAATTTCAGTCCCCGATCCGCGAGATTTCAACCTTGAAGACAAGGTTAATTTGAAGGAGGATGGATTGATAGGTAGCGGGAAGAGCATGGGGCAGGGCCGGGCTTGGGCCCACTTCCGTGGGCCTGTTACGGGCTGTCTTTATATTTATTTATTATTATTAAGTTAATGTTATGTTTTGGTTTGGGCCTTTTATTAGTAGAGTACTTAGTAGAGTTAGTATGAGCCTAATTAGGATTTAATTAATTTGGGCTTGATTAGGATTTCTTGCAGAAGGCTATTTATACCCCTCGCCAGGGTTCATTCTTATTATCTTGGAATAAAATTGGTTTTAGCCTTTTGGCACTGGGCAACGGTTTACCCCGTTCATTTATTTTTCTGTTACATAACAACGCCTCAAAAACAACTTTTAAAAGTATGGTCCTGTAGATGTAATTTGAAAGGCTAAATTGTTTTGAGACCTATTTCTAGACCATTGTTCAATTGGAGTTACCTTTGTGTTATTTTTCTAGACTAAACTGAATTTGCCACACTAAATCCTATATATTCCGTATTTGCGCGGAACGGTCTTCATTTCGCTTACAGTGAGTTTTACAGGTGTTTGTGGACAAAGTCTGATAGTAGTTCACAATGTTAATAATTTCGTACATGTCAGATCTTACTTATTTGCTGATGTTTTTTTGGTGATTTCCAGGACACTGTATTGTATGTTTCTCGAGGGTTAGATTCACACTCTTTATTTATGGAATTGTCTCGTCTGTTTACCGGTGGAACCCCTGATCTCCACTTGGCCAATTTTCTTCGCATGATCTTGACCATGGCGGAATCAAGTTTGCCCGATGAGCAGACTGAACTTTTCATTTTAAACAGCCAAAAAATGCAAAAACTCCCAGAAGAAGAACCAGTATGGTCCCTTCCAGACAGTGCATCTTCAATGGGAAATCAAGAGGCACTGACGACTAACGTTGAATCTGGAACAACAGAAGAGCCAAATCCAGTCAAACCCAAACAGAGACCAGGAAAAAGTTTTCCTGGTAATTGGCCACCCACAAATTGGAGAAATGCCCCTAGTTTTCCTTCCCCCCATGTGTCTAATTTAAAAGCACAACCGGGCAGTGATGTGAAAATATTAAATCAGGATGAGGTGACAGAAATCGTGAGGAATCCCGAAAAGCATCCCCATGCTCCAATCGACATCCACTTTAGGGGACTTGTTGAAGATATTTCAACAACCGCCAGTGCACCTGGGGTGGCGGGTGTACCAGATTCTGAAATTTCACAAGATAATATATCATCAGAAGAGGTGAGTATGTGCTTGGAGTCTTTTCCTGCTGTGACTACTCTAGAAGCTGGTTCTGGTTTGGTTTCAAATGTGAGCGATAGTGGTCAGCTATCTCTTACCAGCACATCCAGCTCAGTAAAAGGACAACAGGCAATGTTGACTGGCAGGCTTGGAGAGTTTGTTGCCTTCAAATACTTCATTGGAAGTGTTGGAGAAAAATCGGTGAAATGGGTGAACGAAACAATTGAGACCGGGTTGCCTTATGACCTTTTAGTAGGAGATAAAGAATATGTAGAGGTGAAGGCAACCAAACAGCTGAGAAAGGATAAGTTCAACATATCCACAAGGGAGTGGCAATTTGCAGTCGAAAAGGGTGAACTTTACAGCATTGCACTTGTTGTTTTATCGGCAGCTAACCATACAGCAACAGTCAAAATATACAAAAATCTCGCCAGACTTGTCCAGCTTGGTAAGGTGCAGTTGACCCTTGAACTCCATTAAAAAATTTCCTTTCTTTTATAGATCTACTCCCCCGAATGTTAGATTCTTTAGATCCTTAATCAGTTTCCATCCAAATGTCGTCTGTAAAAATTTAAAATGTTTGTTGCACGGGCAAAAGTGAAATAAAGGGATTTGTGGTCTCTGTTATTTCTCTCTTCTGCATAAATCTCAATCACAGTTTTTACTTTATTCTCCGTGCCAATTAAATTTGGCAAAGTTTGAAGTGATAGAAAGAGATTTTTTTATGTAAGCCACAGTAGAACGGAGTGTTTTTTAACTAATTAGATTTTCATACCATGTATAATACTCCCATACTGAAATGCTTGCTACAATAGGGTTTGACTTCAGATTTAAAAGAAAGTAATAGGAGTAATGGAAGAGAATTGAGTATTTTAAAATACATCCTGAAAGTAAAAGTGAACAAACATAAAGGAAAAGTGAAAAAAAAAAAAATTAAAATACATCCTGAAAGTATAACAAACATTTTAAAAAAAGTTTGGCCAACGTTAAATAAGAAAGTTATAATAATTAAAGGTTTCGGTAGAGGAAACATAAATAATACGGAGTAGTAAGTAACCAAGCTGCAGATTGTTTTGCACAATTAAGTAAGAAAATTGTTAAAGTTCAACAAATGGATGAAATAAATACACATAAAGGTTGACAAAACCAATCCCGTAAACAAAGTTGCACTCCTACGCAATCATGATGAGAGAGATAAAAATAAGATTCCGTGGAGGGAAGTTAATATTTATGTAATTTATCCCCAAATTAATTACCTCCAACTATTATAATGTCATACGATTCTTTAATTTCATAAGGATTATACATTATCATTAGCAAATTGAGGCTTAAATCTATACGAAAGTCATTATAATTTGATTTGGCAGCAAAGCTTATAAAAAGTACACGCATTTTTATCTGACATTGAAGTACTAATGCTTCAAGCGTACAAAAAAAGTTTTCTACCGTTCTTTGTTAAAAGAAATTTTATAAATCTGGTACCTGGCCCCTGAAAGATAGACGAATTATCAATCCGGGACCTGAAAGATTAAATGTATCAATATAGGATTCGAAAGATGAAAAACTCTCAATTTAGGACCTAACATTTCATAGGTTTTGATTGATTTATTTTTTTTATTAATTCCATTGCTAATATTTGATGAAATTTTCTTCACAAAAGTTTATTAGTTTAATAAAACCAAATCTTATTTTTTTTTAAAATAAAAATAGCAATAAAATTTATGAAAACTTAGGTCCTCAATTGATAGTTTTTCGTCATTCGAGTCTTAGATTGATAGTTTTTTATCATTCGGATCCTTTACCGATACATTTCATCTTTCAGGTCTCGAATTGATAGTTTGTCTATCTTTCAGGTTCCGAACTGATAAAATTCCAGTAATTAAGGTGAGAGACATTTTGCAGGGACTTTTTTGTATCATGTATTGTATGGAGAGTTTTTTCCAAAAATATTACCATAAAAACTTATGAATAAAAATTTGACTTAGTAATTTTTAGTGAATATAATTGTATTCAAAGTTTATATCATAGTCACTACATCATAGTTACTAAAAGTTATCAAGTCATATTTCTGTTCATCACCTTTTCAGTAGGAATATTAGTGGATTTTTTTTTTGTATATAACATTAGACTATGGATCACATGAATTGAAAATTTGGATAATCTTGCTTTAATTTTTTAGTCATATTTAGTTTTTTTTGGGAAAAAGGCCAGATAGACTCTTCTTTTATTTCTAAGTCATCATTTAAGTCCTTTTACATTAAAAATCATCATATAAGTACGCTTATTTTTAAAATACAGTCAATCAAGCCATTTTGACTTGTTATTGCATGTTATTTTTTTAAAAATAATATATGGAAAAATGATAAATCTTATAAAAATTCATGTAAATTTGAAAAAATTATGTAATAATAATATAAAAAATAGTATAAATATAAAAATAGACAAAATATTTAAAAACGTTAAATAAAAAAAAATTCAGAAAACTGAAAAATAAAGTGATAATAAAGAATTTTGAAATTTAAAAAACTTTTAAATAGATGTAGAATATACAAATAATTTCAAAAATTCAAAAAATATTGGTTTTGATATTCAGAAACTGATTTAATTTCCAAATTGATCAATTAGCTAAAGTAGGCGTACTTATATGATATTTTTTAGTACATGAGCTTAAGTGACGAATTTGAAATAGTAGAATGACTTATTTGACTCTTTTCCCTTTTTTTGATGACGTAGCTCTTCTAACTAATAGTTAATATTAATGAACAAGGTATTAAGGAAATTAAAAAATGTGAAAATAAAATAAATAAAATATACGCAAGTATCTAAGGTGGACAATGGGGTACTTTAAAAAAGTGCACAATGGAGTGGGGACATGGGGTGGGGCTATAGGGTATAGGTAACACCATTTGTAGCGGTGGAGAGGTCAAAATGTTCAAAATAGACTATGTTTATATGAAAACAGTATTTAGACTTCTATTCTCTATATTCCAGTACCGTCAATAAATTACACTCAACATATTTTTTTACATATCGATTTAGTAAAATATTAATTAAATTGTTATATGTAATATTTTCATTTTAGTTTTCTTTTCTGAATAATTATTAAAAAAAACACATATTTCGATGTAAAAATAATAAAATTTCATTAAATTTTTAAATGTTATTCGATTAACAATAATGGACTTAGTTCAAGTAAAGTTCGATTATGGAATATTCAGTTATTTGTGAAGGTTGCATGAATTAAAAGTTTGTGTTTCATGTTTTTTGGCCTCAAGAAAACTTTAACGGTTAAAACTTTATATTTTTTTCATTTATATATTATATATTGGTGTGATATGAAAAATCATAAAAATTCATGAATTTTGATATATTTTTTGAAAAATTCGGAGAACAAATAAAAAAGTTATAAGAGTTTAAAAAAAGTTTGGGATTATAATGATGCAGGGATGATGTCACCCACTTCCTTTCATGAGCCACCCCTTCCTCTTCTCTTTCTTTTCCTTTTCCCATGTCAATCCACCCTCCATTTATAACCTCCTCCATCCCGTTTCACACTTTTACTACCCAGTTTAGCCCACCACTACATGAGATTAGGAGTCCAATAATTCCATCTTTAACATTTTTGACTCCTAATACTCCACCACTTCAAATGGTCTAACATTTCAGCATGACCACCACAACGCCTGTCTTCACAGAGCCACTCTTGTTCGCTCTTATGTCATCCTCGGCCAACACAGTGATGATCATGGCGCTTGTCATCACAGCGGAGCAGAACTCGTCCAACTCTCTCTCTCTCTCTTCGCCGGTTGTTACTCGTCCACGCATCTCGTCCGACATCTCTCTTTCGCCGCCACCAATGTCTTCATACCGTCTGTTGAACCCAATCCATTTCTGCGAAGCCTTCCTCTTCCGAGGAAGAGATCGTGGCTAGATAGGTCGTGGCCGTGGTTATGAAGGTCAGTCGCAGCAGCAAGGTTCTGGCGGCCAGCAGCCGCCGATCCTACTCAACTACCACATGCCCAGTCTCACAGGCAACAGCTTTATGGCGCTTCTCGTGGCCGTTTCAGGTTGGGATTCCATTTTTTCCATCTGTGGATGGTAACTATCCAAATCCTCCAAAACCAATTGTTTGCCAAATCTGTTTCTCGCTGGGTCATTCTGCTCTTGCATGTCCACGATTCATTGGTTCGTATACTCCGGCTCTGGATGCCATTCTTTCGAGTGAGACAAATGCTTATGTGTGATATCCTGACTCAGGTGCATTTGCTCATATGACCCCTCATGAAGGTATTCTTTCTTGTAAAACTCCTTATGCTGGCCCTAATTTTGTGCAAGCTGCTAATGGTACTAAATTACCTATCTCTAGCTCATGATATGTTGGCAGACTTAAACTTATTACTCCTGGTCGCCCGCTTTCCTTAAACTCCGTTTATCATGTTTCACATTTAAAATATAATTTATTTTCTATTCATAAATAATTGTGTGCGAATAATGATTGTACAGTGATTTTTGTTTTTATTAAGGAAAACCAGACGGGGGCTCATCTTCTTCAGGCTTCCAATAAAGACCATCTCTACCCATTTCATCCTCTTCAAGCTACCTTGTTTCTCGATCTACTTGGCATAAACGTTTGGGGCATTGTGGTGATAGAGTTTTACAAAGACTACATCAAAATAATTTTATTTTTGTTTCTAGTAGTTGTACTCACAATTGTGTTTCTTGTATGTTGGGTAAATCCCACACACTTCTGTTTCAAGATGGTATTCATTCTTGTACTGCGCCCTTGGAGCTTATTCATTGTAATGTTTGAGAATCTTATGTTATATCTAATCTGAGTTTTAAATATTATGTTTCTTTTATTGATGATTTTTCTCGTTATACTTGGATTTATCCTATGCGGCGCAAGTCTGAGGAATTTGCTCACTTTTGTAATTTTCAAAATCTGGTTGAGAATCTCTTAAAGCTCTTCAAAGTGATGGTGGTGGTGAATTTGACAATTCCATTTTTCAAAATAAGTTTTTAAAATCCGGTATTTTATTCAAAAAACTTGTCCGGATACTCCGGCTCAAAATGGTGTGGCTGAGCGTAGGTATAAACATCTTCCTGAATTAACTACGATTATGTTAATTAAATCCTCTACTCCCTCTAGTTTTTGGGCTGATGCTTTATACACCATCACTTATATTGTCAATCGTTTACCTACATCACTTTAAAATAATTTAACTCCTTTTGAAAAGCTTTTTAATAAATCTCCTCATTTTAATTTTATTCATTTTTTGTTGTGTCCGTTTTCCGAACTTTATTGCCAAGTCTTCATTAAGCTCTCATCTCGCTCTGTTCATTGTGTTTTTCTAGGCTATGCACGATTTATAAGGGTTATGCTTAGATACTATGTATGGTCGAGTATACATCAGTCCGGATGTTACCTTCCATGAAAATGAGTTTCTTTATCCTCACCTTGTTTCCCGGGACAAACCACCGACTGTAATAACTCATGTTTTACCTTTAACTTGGCCGCCGCCTTCACCCAATGCCTAGGCCCCACCGGCGGCCGCACCATTACTGCCAAGCTCCCCACCGACGACCCCAGCCAGTAATGACTTCATCCGATCTCTGCCAGACATCCCAGCACAGACTCCTGTGACCAGTC